TTAGAGTCTACATATAAGTGAAACCATGTAGTAAGTGCCTGTCCTTGTCTGACTTATTTCACTTAGCATGATACTTTCTAGATCCATTTATGTTGTAACAAATGGAGGTTTCATTCTTTTTTATTGCTGCATAATATTCCATTGTATTTATGTACCACATCTTTATCCATTCATCTGGGCACCTAGGTTGCCTCCATATCTTGGCTATTGTAAATAATGCTGCAGTGAACATAAGGCTGCATATATATTTTTGAATTAGCGCCTTTGTTTTCCTTTGGATAAATATTTGGAAGTGGAAGTGCTGGCTCATATGATATATCTAGTTTTTTGAGGAATATCTATACTGTTTCCATAGTGGCTGCACCAGTTTGCACCACCAACAGGGCACAAGAGTTCTCTTCACATCCTCGCTAACACATGTTATTTGTTGACTGTTTGATAATAGCCATTCTGATTGGTGTTGAGATGGTATCTCACTGTGGTTTTAATTTGCATTTCCCTGCTGATTAGTGATGTTGAGCATCTTTTCATATGTCTGTTGGACATCTATATGTCTTCTTTGGAGAAATGTCTATTCATATCTTCTGCCCATTTTTAAAATCAGACTGTGTGTTTTTTTGTTATTGAGTTGTATGAGTTTCTTACATATTTTGGATATCTACCCCTTATCAGATCTATTATTGGTGAATATATTCTCCCGTTCAGTTGATTGTCTTTTTTTTGCTTTATTGATGCTTTTGTCATTCTTATTTTTAAAATAAGGAAACTGAGGCACATGGAGGGGAGGTGACTTCCCCAAGGTGACATAGGATTAGTAAGTGGTTATGGGACCCGTGCTTACATCCATTGGACCCACAAGACAGGTCGAGTGAATTCAGTTTGTTTATTCAATAAATTTGTGGGGCAAAAGCAGCATCATGATGTTCATGTCGGGGTGGTAGCAGAAGCTAGGGGTTCTATGCTGAGCTTTCCCAGTTACTTGCTGGCCACAGGCCTCATGACATCAGTGTTCACAGAGTGATGATAATTTGGAACCTCACGGGCTCGTAGCTAGGCAGATATGAAAGAGTCTCGTGCAGAGCCTGACACATCCAGGTGCTCAGTTGGCATTTTAAAAATATATTGTTGAATTTGGATGTATCTGCCACCAATACAATTCACTCATTCATCAAATTAATGTTTATTGTACATTATGCCAGGCAATGTACTAGCCACAAAAACGGCATTGTTGGATTCTAAGTCCCCATCTGCAGGAATCCCGTGGAGGGAGGAAAACATTCAACAGTCACACAAATACACGTGGAATTACAACTGTAAGGAGAGCTGCCTGACGTACGAGGCACTCCTCAAACGGCTTTCCCTGCACCTGTTCCTCTCCAGGACCCTCCCTCTCACGGTGACGTCTCCATTCACCCATCTCCCGGAGGAAAGCTCTGGGAGTCGACACGAATCTTCTCACAGCTGGCACCCGTGCCCCTTCTCCCAGGCGGCAGCTCTTGCTCTCGGCCTCTGCCTGGCATTAGTGATATGGTAACGGAGCGTATGCTCTCAGAGGTGAGCCCACCAGGAAACGGGAGGGGTTGTAAAAGGGTAAACCAGAACTCTCCGCAGGCCAGAGATCCCCACCAGTGCAGACGTTTTACTCAGGGCTGCATTACAGAGGTCTGTGCACAGGCATCCACATAGGTTTATGTCGCCCCAGGAGAGGCCTTGTGGAGGTACTTGGGAACTTATTCTCTGGAGGTAGAGGACGAATTCTGAAAACTTCCCAGTTTTGCCCAGGGCAGATCCACTGGGGACAAAGAGAAGCTGTATAAGGAGTTACTTTTTTTGCATTGTGGAGCTGGGAGGCGTACAGTTCTATCTTGTATGATTTATTTAAATTTTTGACTGACTTTTAGAAATTATTCTTCCTGAAGGAAATCTTAAAGTGTGGCTTTCTACCTGTGACTACAACTTCTAATCATGCTCAAGCTAATGATCAAGGAATATAAACCATCCCTTCGCTAAACTGTGCTCATCAGTTCATCAGGGATCATCCACTCCATGTCTGTCCAGGTTGATTATGCTTCTGAATAATCCTTGAAATTCCGAAGGGTTGTGGCAATACCAGTGCTGGGCAGAAGAGGGCGACATAACCACATTAAGTGTGTGCATTCAAGCCAGGGACTCCTCTGGGCTGCTGGATCTCCTGAGTTTTCAGCCTTGTCAAGTACACACGGTAGTGTTATGATTCCCATTCCACAGATGGGGAAACTGAGTCTCAAGATGTTCCACAAGATAAGACAGCTGGGAACACCGAAGATATCTAAAGTTCCAGATAGGAAAGGATGATTGGAAGGGTCATGGGGCTGGGGGCTTGAAGCTGTCTTTGCAGAGCACATTATGCAGATGGAGAGATTAGCCATGTCCAGTGCTGCTCCCAAAGTGGCAATGCAGGGATATGAACCCACACTTTCTAACTCTTAATCTCAGGCCCCTGACTCTGCAAGGGTGTGTGGACTGTCTAGTCCTCCCGGCATTGACCGGTACAGGGGTAGATTTCTGCTCACTCACCCCATTACTCTGATTTCTGTCCTCCTCAACCCTTGTTCTTAGCCCTAGAATGAGTAAGTACAACACACCAACTCTGATTGTTGCCAGAAAGTTGTGGAATCAAAACCTGAAGTTACACCACCCTGGCCTTCCTGGAAGGCAGTATTATTGAACAGAAAAAACTAGGGAGGGTACTAAGCATTATACTGTATTTCCACATGCCGGGTTGGATATATGTAAATCTTGATGATGACGATAATGATGAAAATAGCAATATTAACCAACATGTGCTTACTCGGGGCCAAGGGATTGTGCCAAGAATTTTCACCACATTATTTTATTTAATCCTCTTAAGAAACCTGTGAGGCAAGTAGTAGTATTATTTTACAAGTGAGAAGAGGGAGGCCAGAAAGGTTAAGTACCTTGCCCAAGTTCACTTGGCAAATAATTAACCCAGCATTACTTGTACGCAGACCTCCTAACACACACCGCTAAGGCTACCTGTGCTGCATTTCAAGGGTGCCTGGCATCTTAGGTGAGGCTGCTGAATCCTCAGCACCATTCGAAAGTCCCAGTACTACCTACCCAGAGCTCGTCTATATGTTGATGATGGAATGACAACAATGAAGATATACACTATTTGCATTTGTAACCTCTTGCCACGCTAGAATGCAAGGTTTCCTGAATAGCCAGCTTAACCCTGAGGAATGCTTCCCCAAGTTTGTCTTTACCCTGAGAGTCTGAGGACCAGAGAGCACGCCCACTGTTTTAGAAAACTGGTAAAACATATTAGAAATATTTGAAACCTTAGAGAAACTAAAGCTCATTCCTCCTGTGTTGAGTGGGGCAGACCACACCAACTCTGTGGCTTGCCTGACTCAATGGACTACGATCTAAGACTGCTTGCAGTGAACGTTGCTTCTGTGAAGTTGACATACTAAATGCAGTATTTTTTGCCTCCCTCTGGTGCCTGTTTTTATCGAGTGTCCAGCATCAGAAGGCCCATTTGAAGACCAGCCATCCAACAAGGCCCACTACGTCTAACTCTGCAGGTACAAGCCCAGCCTCAGCCTTTCTGCGCCTCGCCTCAAGGGTCTGCACGGAGACCGGGAAGGAAGGGACAGTGTCCACGGGCTGGTAAACGCCAGCTCCTCTCCCCACTGCCTGTGCCTCTGAGGGTAGAGTGAGCATAGTGCAGTGTCATTTGTACTTAGATCCTGCTATGTGGTGCATATTCCACGAATAATTAAGACTACCTGATCTATAAACTACCACGTCAAAGTCAGCAATGTGCATTCCATTTCTTAAAACTTATTTTTTTCTTTTAGAGATTTTTTAATGGATTTTTAGAGAGGTGGGGGGAGAAACATCAATTTGAGAGTAAAATATCCATCAGCTGCTTCTTGCACACAACCCAGGCATGTGCCCTGACTGGGAATCGAACTGGCAACCTTTTGGTGCATAGGATGATGTCCAGCCAACTGAACCACACTGGCCAGGGCTATGAATGCTGTTTGAAAGCCATCCGATGGAACATTACTCTCTACCTGTGCTTTGTTCTGTGTCTCCTAATTCCATCTATATTTTCCTTCTCCTGATTCGTGACACATTTGGCCCTTTAGATCCGCTTAGCAGGGACTAGATCTGACTCCAGCTTCTCCACAGCATCTAATGCTTCAGTGGTAACTCAGGGAATCCCAGTAACACCACAGCAGGACCCAGACACCTCATGTGGGCACACACTAACACCAGAAGTGCTAAAGCAGAAGGAAGACATTTGTGTTCTTAGATCGTCAAGAAGACTCTTTTCTCCACAGTTGTAACTCCACATATCAACACCGTCTGAGAGCGGGGCTGGCAGGAGCGCCCGGAAGAGATACTCAGCGTTTGGCTCGAATTGCTCCTGCTCTGCAGTTTCTTTAGTCTGGAGAATGACTTACCCGTTACCACAGCCACGTCTGTGTGATATGCAGAGCGGAAGGTGCCTAATTTATAATGTGTAAGACTACGACTTGAACTGGCATTTCACAAATCAAGCCCAGTGGAAAGGTAACCCAGAGAGTCAATACACTTGAACCCGAGCCCATGTCTTTGTGCGAGTCTTGCCAACCCTGCCCCGTGCGGCTCTTCCCCTCATGGAGCAAACAGGACCCTGACCAGCCGGGGCGTGGGGGCTGATCTTTCACTAGGTACAGAAATCTGAACAACTGAACGCTGGCCAGCACATCTGATCTCACAGCAGCAGGGTACGTCAACAGAGTCCCCTTTAGGTGGGCTGTGGACTCACAACTCTACTTTCTGCACTCAGACCCTGTCCACAGTTATACTACCCCGCCTCTGAGAGTGGCGTGCCTACATAGAACCCTGGAGAAGAGGGTGCCAGTATTTAGATATCCTCCCTTCCCTAACCTCCACGAAAGAAGATGCCAGAAAGGTGAAGGACTCCAAGAGAGATGGGTGCTTACTGTGCTGGTCGCTCTTGTCCCTTGTCCCATCCACTGTGCCATCTGGGAGGATCCTCAGGAAGTAGCCCCCGTTGCTGCAGTAGAGAAGTTTGGGCTTCTTGTAATTATCCAGAGGCAGATTGAACCTCTCGGTCAGGGCCGTGAACGTGGTGACTTCCCCTTCGGTCATGGCTCAGCAGCTGCTGGTTGCGGTGCTTTCAGGGCTGTAAAAAATTAAACAAACTCGTGGAAGCTTCTTCCAGCAAAGGTGCACTTTCAGGAAGGGAGAGCGCCTCCGGTGCAGGACTCTGGTCGGTGGGAACCACAGACTGGCCAGGTGATGCCCACAGTAATGGGCCTGTGCCATGGCCGGTGGTTAAGGAAGGATGGTCCTGGCAGGGGAGGGATGGTCGGGGCATTTCTCATGTCCCAATTGGACACAGCTTTGGATCAAGCTGTGCATTTTTTAGAACTTTAAATTTAATCATTTGGCCAAGGGGAAAAAAAAATAATGTGTTGGTCTCTCCTTCTGATCCACACACATCCTCAAATTAAATACCGAAGTTGCACTAAAATAACACCTGGGGTCTGGCCGAAACCCACAAAAGCTGAGAGGCCGGCACTGAGGTTTTGCCCTCCACCCTCCCACGGTTTTGACGAGGTACCGCCAGGCCCAGGTGCAGAGATAGCACAGAGAGCCGGGCATTCGAGACCTGGAGCACCTCCCACAACAGAGACAGCCAGGGGTTCACGTGTAAAGGAAAATGATTCTGGGTTTGCTGGTGGGAACATAACTGGAACTGGGGAATGACACGTGAGGGTGTTGTGTGGGGTTTTTAAAGGGCAAACCGTGTACCAAGGGAACTTTTTGAGACAGATCATTATGAAGGATATGCTAGTCACTGCCTGCTTCACAGCTCTCCGCACATGCGCGTACGCGAGAAGGTGTCCCCGTACGAGGGCCATCTCATCCCCATTGCTGTCTAACGAGACATGCTTACTGTGACACAGAAACCACCCTATTGCATACTGTAATCCTCTAATGTAGGTAGCCACTATAATAAATTTATAACATGTTCGTGTAAAAATGTATCAATTATTACCTCTAGGGATTAAAACGCAAAGCCAATAAACACTGGAATTTTAAAGCATCTACTTGTCCCCACCATTTAGGAGAATGTCGTGCGGGTGACTAATGAAGACCGAACAAGACAGAGGCGAAGAGACCGGGACACTGACATGGGGCCTTCACAAGTGTGAGTGGATGCTGACGGCGCGCATGGGTTATCAAGTGGCCTTGTAACAATCGTCATCATCCCTGTTCACATATTCTGGGCTACAAGTTGACTCATATAATCCTCACCAGAACCCTTTGAAACAGACACTAATATCACCCCCATTTTAAAAATAAAATGAAGACAAAACTTAGAGAGGTTCAGTGGTCTGTCCAAGGTCAGCAGCTAGTACGTGGTAGAGCTGAGCCTCAAGATGGGGCTCTTGAAACAAAGCCCCCACTTGCGCTCACTCACCAGGAAGAGGTTAAGTGAGCTCACGGGTACTGCAGTGTCACAGTAGTCCTCCCCCGCCCCCATCCACGGTTTCACTTTCTGTGGTTCCAGTTACTCTCGATGGACCGTGGTCTGAAAATAGTAAATGAAAAATTCCAGAAGTAAACAATTCCTATGTTTCCAACTGTGCAGCGTTCTGAGTAGCCTGATGAAATCTCACACCGTCCTGCTCCGTCCCACCCAGGACGTGAATCTCCCTTTGTCCTGCGCATTCACACTGTGTACACTTAAACCGGCTTGTCACTCCGTAGTCATCTCGGCTATCAGACTGACTGTTGCAGTAGCGCACTGCTTGTGTTCAAGTGACCCTTATTTTACGTCATGATGAGCCCAAAGCCATTCACCTAACTTTTATTACAGTGTATTGTTAGGGTTGTTCTCTTTTCTTATTAGTTATTGCTGTTAATCTCTTACTGGGTCCAATTTAGATATTAAACTTTTTCATAGGTGTGTATGTATAGGAAAATGTACTGAGTAGTGTTTGGAAAGGTTTGGCACTCTCTGTGGTTTCAGCCAAAAATTAAGTTATTTATTTGTGACCCAGATGTTGGTTATTACCTCCACCATCAGCCTCGGCTTTGGCCCCATGCAGCGGGACTGTGGGCCTCTCCTCACTCTCTGGGAGACCCCACGTCACTGCGTGTTAAGGAGCCCTGTGATCATCATGGAAGGCCAGCCAGCCTCCTGTATTCTCCACCCCCACACCCATCCATGCATCCATCCATCCCTGGAACAGCTTCAGGGAGCTACTCCACAGAAGTTAATGCCGCTATAAATTAATCCAACAATTTGCATAATTTGTCCTGGTGGCCTTGGAATTAGGACTCAGGTCGGAAGCCTCCATTCATTCCCTCTGCGCCAGGCATCTTGATGTTTCCGGTACATCTCTCTCAATCTGCAGCCACACAGGCCTGTCATACTATCCAAAGTTTCGGTTATAGTTTGAAGTCTCTCCATGGAGACTAAAAGAGAATTTTGCATATGCCACATAAACTAAATTTAAAGTCAGACCATCCTAGAAATCGTCTTTACCTATGGCAAAACTCTGTCCAGCTCTTTTCATGTAGTCCAGTAACAGATGGAAATTATTTCTACTGACATTGATTTCACAGGGAAGGCCGCAGTTCACCTTGCACATCGCCTTTCCTTCCCAAGCCCTCCCTCTTTCCTCCAAACCTTCTCTTTCATCCACACACCTCTACGTCTCTGTGTCCACCTCTGTTTTCTCTCACTCTCATCTGTCTCTCTACTCAGCACTTTTCCCACCCAGCCTCTCAATCTCTGTCTCACGCCACTTGCTTCTGATATAAAGCAGTTTAGTTCTTTCAGACACGGACCTCTTTACCCATCGCCTCTCATCAGCAGACGACAATGATGAGATCCCCCTTTCTTAAAATGCTGCTAAGAGATCACCAGTATCTTTTGTTTTATCAAGTTTTTTCCAAGCACTTACTAAGTATGTCCTTAATTTGTTGCAGGAGATAATAATTGCATCCTCGTGATTGCCAGTTAACTGGACAAAGAGCCATTTGTTTTGTCTGTCTTCAGTGAGCAGAATTTTGTTTCCTGTTGTCCCTGAGTTTTCTCAAATGGAAGTCTGTGCACCCCTGGTTGTGCATGTGAAGGCTAGCCTCCCTTCGAGATCCAGCATCCGTGCAGAGACTCCATTAAGACATTTTCTAAGTGTTGGGTATGGATTTGGCTCTACCTATTTGCATTCTTGCTTCCATCCCATTGGGATGAAGCAGAACAGATGCAGAAGGCCAACTGAGGTTGGAGGCACCAGCTCTGGCCAAGGATTGCACTAATGCTCCCATCCCTGGACTTGGTCACTGTGGGGCCCTTCCCAGCTGAGCAACCTCTGCCAGAGGCGCAGCCTCCTCTCCTTCCTCATCACAGTGCAGCCTGCGGTTGTAGGAGACCACGACTCTGCTCTCTGCCTGCTCCCGCAGTAGGGGTCAGTAATGGGGTGCTTGTACTGACTTCAGATTGCTCCCATCACCCTTCAGGGCAGATCCATACCTGGAGACCTTAATGGGACATGTTGACTCCTGTAAATAAGCCTTGAGTCAGCATGAAATTAATAGACTGTGGAAGCAGCATTTATGAATCAGCTGAAACTTAAAAAAAGGAAAACCCTTTTATTGCTGAAGGAAACCCCAGAGACAAGAAAAAACCTTATTTTTATTATTTTGCTTTATTACAATTTACTGATGTTTTAAGCAGTGGTTAGTCCACAGTTCCTTGCCAATCTAGTATTTGTTAGAGGACAAGAATAAAGGAAGTCTATGACGTGATGAAACTATTAGGCAGCAGTCTTAGCAGGACCCTGGGGATTGACACAAATTGCTCTAATAAATGAATCCATTAACTACATGAAATCAGGCATGAAGCATAATGGAAATTTATAAGCTCTGCTTCTTGTTATTATTATCATTTTGTTGGCTGTCAGAGAAGGGGGTTATCTGTGTGTGTGTGTGTGTGTGTGTGTGTGTGTGTTGGGAGATGGAACAGATCAAGTGGACTTCATGTCATCATTGTGTGCTAAGTCCAGCCCTTTGAAATTTGGGGTGCTAATGAGATTTTGGGGACAACCTGAAGATTTTCTTGACTTATTAGTGACACCAAAGTGAAGAGAACCCCAGCCTTTGGGAACACTGTGTTAAGGCTGACAAATTTTGTCATCTGTAGCTTCTGGAAGAGGACGTGAATTCTGACACATGAACAGGAGGTTAAGTGTACACCCTTGCCCAGGAATATAACAGTCACTTTTTAATGTGGTACAGTGAGCAACACTGTACAGCCCCTTCTAGGCACCTATTGGTTCTGGGAACCTGGGCCAGTCATTCACTCCTTTCGAGATGTGCCCTCTCATAATCCCCACTTTGCCTGCCTCAGAGTTGTCTGAAGGGTTACGTGGGCTCAATATTCATGACAGCACTTGCAAGGAATAGAAATATGACCTTACCTGTAGGAGATATAAATAACTGGTTATGTTGAATGCTTAATTTAAAATAATTTTACAATTGGTATAAAAATATAAAATTTGTATTCCCTTTCATACTTGGCAGAAGTTATCTAAGCCCCTCCCCCCTTATCATTCAAGCCACCAAGATAGCAGAGAAATGAAGGCGGCAAAGGTAAAGCATGGTTAGGTATGGAAGAATCCAGGTCACCATTTCAGGCTCAGTTCTCAGCTTCTCCGCAGTTATTGAAGTGGCATTTGTGAAGCCTGTTATGTGCAGGAGACATTTGGTACTAAGCTAGAAGGGAAGACTTACAGTTCTAGGAAGCAAAGGAAGGCAAACACTGATGTTTATTATTTTTATTTTGCCTTTAACCCGTCACTGCTCATGTAATGCAGAATACCCTTGAAGGGAGATATTTTGCAAAGTGTATAAAGCTAGTGAATGCAGATGTATAGGCATCTGTTCAGTTGGTAATTTGATATGTGTCCTCAAACTGAGCATATGTAAAATAGGCCTCACCTTTGGGTCCAGATATGCTTTAAGTCTGCTCCCTGTCTCTTTCAATGGCATCACCTCAAAGCTTAACTATTCCTTAGAGATATTAATTAACCTAGATCTTATTAAGTCATAATGTTTGTTAAATATTAAGGGTAACTAGTAAAAGAAAAGAAATAGAAAGCGTTCATTCCAATTAGCACCTGGCAGGGATAAGGGAAATAAAACAAATAAATAAAATTGTACTTATCCAAAAGAATTCAGAAAAAATAGAAAATAATATAATTGTTCAAAATTAGGTGGTAGAAATACATGCAAATATATATCATCATAATAAATGTAAATGGGCTAAATTCACTAGTTATTGGATTTTTAAAAAATTCATCCACATTCTGATTACAAGAGACACATTTAAAATACAAAGACACAGAAAGTTTAAAAGCAAAAGAATGAAAAATAGATACCCAATGTCAACACAAAATTAGAAGTTGATATGGCTATATTAATATCATGTAAAGTAAGTCAAAGGCAAAAAGAATGATCAAGGATAAAAGGGATCACTACATAGTGATAAGTGGAACGAGCAACAGGAAGATGTAAAAAGTCTAAGCTTGTGTACCAATGACAGCCTCAAAATATATAAAACAAAAATTGACAAATACATAAGAAGTTGACAAATCCACAATGATAGTGGAAGATTTCAATACATTTCTGTCATGAATGATAGAGCAAACAAACAAAAAATATTAAGGATATAAAAGATTAAAATGCACAATGAAGAAGCTTAATTAAATGACCATAGAACTCTGCACCCAACAATTAACGGTCACCATGCTTCTTAAGAACACCTGGAGCACTTATGAAAAATTGATCATAGATCAGGTCATCAGGCAAAACTCAACAGAAAAAGAAGAACCCATTTTGTTCAGACTATTCTCTAGGTAGAGTAGAAACCACTCCCACCCAGCCCATTGGCGACAAGACTCTTTTAAGTGTACCTTTTTAATGTCTCCTAAAATCGTCTCTTCGTTCCTGCGTTAGTGCGGAGGCAACACCTTCTCTCACCTGGGCTCTGAGACAGGTAGCAGTGGTCTCCCTTGTCCAGAACGGCTCCCTTTTAATCCCCTGCTGCTAGTGACCTTTTATAACACACGAATCTGACCCTCACTCCCCTGCTGAAGACCTCTGACTACGTCAGTGGGTTCCCTGCTGCCATCAGGATAAATTAACCCAGGCTCTATCATGACTATGAAGCTTTCATCATCTGCTCCTTGCCTAACTCTGTTGCCTTTTCTCTTACTTACCTGTTTTTCTTGTAGTCCCACCACAGCCTCGCACCCTGCAGCATTCTCTCTCTCTCTCTTTCTCCACCCTTCTTCCACGGCCTGGCTAAGTCATACTCCCCCTTCAGAAATGTATCTCAGATATTTTCTCCTCCAGAAAGCCTATTTGGACGCATCCCCCAGCTCTAACCTCCCTGCTCTTCCCCACACCACACATACTGGTTTAGATTAGCTGATTCCTTCATGCTCCCGTAGCTGCACTGTATTTACGCTAGTGACGCACTGGGTGTAATTGCTGTGCAGGATCTCTGTTTAAACACCTCGGTGGTTCCCCATTGTTCTGGGAGAATGGCTGAGGTCACAACAACGCCTGCAGGGCTCTGTGAGAGCCAGCCCTGCCTTCCTCCCCTGCCTCATTCCCACCACACTCTCTCCAAACTGGCCTTCATTTCCTTGAAACTACTGTGTCCCCTGCCCCCTGACCTTGACCCATGCTGTTCCCGCTCTAGAACACTGTTCCTCTTCACCCCACTCACCCTGTTAACGCCTACGTTTTCAAGTCTGAGTTCAATTGCCTTATTCTCAAGGAAGGCTTCCCTGACTTGCCTTAACTGGGTCAGGTTCCTCCAGTTCTCATAGGACCATTTAACATTTCCGAGCTCTTACTTCAGTTTTTAATTACACATTCATTCTTTTGATGAGTTAATTAACGCCTCTCTTCATGGCTGGGCTGTCAGCTCTGGGATGGTATAAATCAATGTCTTGCTCACCATGGTATCCCAGTGTCTGGCAAAATGCCTGGCACCTAATAGGCACTTGATAAATATTTTTTGAATGAGCAAATGAATATAATTTAACTATGTTTACTTGACTGTCTCCTTCATTAGTCTCTAAGACCCTGACTATGCATTTTTCCCCTCGACCCAGCACTTAGCAAATGCCTACATATAATCAGTGTCCTGTGGATATTCCTCGACTGGATCCTGGGCCAGCTCCCTCTCAGGGACCTCTGGTGGAAAATGTTATCAGGAGAGTTAATCCTCAGGTATTCATAGAGAACCTAAGCCAAGAGCCTAAATATAGTTTAATTGTGTTAAAATTAGGCTAGAGTATCCTACCCTTGGTTACAAGCAGACCCAAACCTGGTTCTGATCTTGTAGAAGATACTTCCTTACTTCTTCAAAAGAAGTATTATGGACATTAAGAATCTAAAGGAAGGTATCAGACCCTTTGCTCTCAAGTCTAACCTTCTTATCTGACCAAGAGAAAGTCTATGTGGTCTGGTTTTGTTACTTCTGCCAGGAAGTGTCTGCTTGGCGGGGACTCACTTGACTCCCTCTAGTGAAGGGAAGGTTGCCTGAAGAAAGGCAAAACCTGACCCGAACTGTTTTGCGACTAGAATCTTTATTTTTTCCACTTTGTGTCGGTATTTATACAAGCCAGTGCAGAATTAGTAACGTGTTTGATTACAGGGTACTGTCTCAGACCCCAGCAGAGTTGTTCCATAGAATACAATATATGTGCCCTACTGCCTCTCTCAAATCCCCGATTCTGGCTCTAAAATATGTCGAGCCCCGAGGCTTCTCAGGTCAGGGATTCTAGACCTGTGGCGGAAAGTATAGTGTCTGACTTGAAGGAGTTTGCACTCTGGCCATACGAGACTCATCAGGCCATGCTTCAGAAAAGAGGGGCATAGAAGGCTGGACCATGTAGCTGGCAGGATATGGGGCGTTATAATCCAGTTATCTCGCCCAGCAGCTCAATCCCAGCCTTAGCTCTCACACTCCTAAATGAAGACCAGAAAATCTGAGCACATACACCCCCACCACCACCACCAAGGATCTCCTCCAATACCCTTTATTTCATCCCTTGATTTTGGATATTTCATTCTCTTTTTTAAAATGCATAATATAAATTTGGCAAAGTAGCAGGATACAAAATTAACGTCAAGAAATCGACGGCATTCTTGTACACCAATGATGAACTCACAGAAAGAGAAACTGAAAAAACAATCCCATTTACCATCGCGCCAAAAAAATAATGATACCTAGGAATAAACTTAACCAAAGAAGTAACAGACCTATTTGCAGAAAACTACAGGTCATTGAAAAAAGAAATAGAGGAAGATATAAAAAAGTGGAAGCACATACCCTGTTCATGGATTGGAAGAATTAACATCATTAAAATGTCCATACTACCCAAAGCAATCTATAGATTCAATGCAATCCCCATCAAAATACCAACGACATATTTCAGAGAACTAGAACAAATACTTCAAAAGTTCATATGGAACCAAAAAAGACCACAAATAGCCACAGCAATATTGAAAAAGAAGGACAAAGTAGGTGGGATCACAATACCAGATATCAGGTTATACTACAAAGCGACTGTAACCAAAACAGCCTGGTACTGGCACCAGAACAGGCATATAGACCAGTGGAACAGAACTGAAAACCCAGAAATGGACCCAAGGCAATACGCTCAATTAATATTTGACAAAGGTGGCAAGAGCATACAGTGGAGTAAAGACAGCCTCTTTAATAAATGGTGTTGGGAAAATTGGACAGCTACATGCAAAAAAATGAAACTAGACCATCAACTTACACCATACACAAAAATAAACTCAAAATGGATAAAAGACTTAAATGTGACCTGTGAATCCATAAAAATTCTAGAAGAAAATGTAGGCAACAAAATTTCAGACATCATACGGAGCAGAATTTTTACTGATACATCACCTAAGGCAACAGAAATAAAAGAGAAAATGAACACATGGGACTACATCAAACTAAAAAGCTTCTGCACAGCAAAAGAAACAGTCATCAAAATGGAAAGGCAACCCACTGTATGGGAGAACATCATTGCCAATGATACATCAGATAAGGGGTTAATTTCCAATATATATAGAGTGCTCATACAACTCCACAAAAGGAAGACAAAGAACCCAATTAAAAAATGGGCAGAGGAGCTGAATAGACACCTCTCCAAAAGACATATGAAGAAATGCTCAACATCACTAATCATCAGAGAGATGCAAATTAAAACAACAATGAGGTATCACCTCACACCTGTCAGAATGGCCACCATCAACAAATCATCAAACAACAAGTATTGGCGAGGGTGTGGAGAAAAGGGGACTCTAATACACTGCTGGTAGGAATGCAGACTGGTGCAGCCGCTATGGAAAACAATATGGTGCTACCTCAAAAAATTAAAAATTGAACTTCCATTTGACCCAGTGATCTCACTGCTGGGAATATACCCTAAGAAGCCTGAAACACCAATCAGGAAGAATATATGTACCCCCATGTTCATAGCAGCACTATTTACAATAGCTAAGATCTGGAAACAGCCCAAGTGTCCACCAGTAGACGAATGGATAAAAAAGCAGTGGTACATATACACAATGGAGTACTATGCAGCGGTAAGAAAGAAAGATCTCTTATCCTTTGAGATGACATGGAGGGACCTGGAAAGTATTATCCTAAGTGAAAGAAGCCAAGCAGAAAAAGACAAATACCACATGATCTCACTTATATACAGAATATAATGAACATAACAGTCTGAGGAATACAGTAGACCCAGACACATGGAAGTAGGGCACAGACTGACATCCCTCAGAAGAGGGGATGGGGGGTGGGAAGAGATAAACCACAGAACTTATATGCATGTATGCATGACCAATGGACATGGACAACTAAGCCAGGGATGGGGGGGAGGTGGGGTGGGGTGGGGGGTGCCAATGGGGTAAAAAGGTAAAATATCTGTAACAAAAAAATAAATAAAAATTCATTAAAAAATAAATAAATAAAATGCATAATATATGTTATTGTAATGATGTTTATTGAGTGCTCAAGGCAGTGTCCTAAGTGTTTAATTATTTCATTTTTAAGATTCCTTTTAAGAATCGAAGGTAGAGTTTGGCTGTGGGTTCCATCAGTATGTGGTTTCTGCGAATGTGCTCTCCTGGGTTAAAGAATAGGATGTCCATCCGCCCCAAACTCTCTGAGCCTTTCGATATTTAATGCTTTTGCCTCAATTCCTGGTGGCGGGCCAGTGACCCTGTGCCCAGGAGTGAAGCGGAGGGCACAGCATGGCCATCTGAAACCTTGTTCTGTTGCTGTCTCCTCCTCACCTATCTCAGGTTCCAGTTCCCTCTGTGTAATGTTCTTTTTGAAGACCATCTCCCAGCCGGAGAAGACAGCAGCAACATGAAGTCATGAAGTAGCTCTACCCCCCCCCCCTTGTCTGTTAACACTCAGGGCCCCCTTGTCCCTGTGTGTCTTGCTCCAGATGTGCACATCAGTTGTTGAGCAGAGCCTGGCATGGGTGGGACAGAGCAAGGGCAGATCAAGGATTCGGTGTCTGGTCTGGCTAGTTGACATTGCCTACACCTCGACGCTGGCTGTCAGAGTGAACAGCCACATGGCACCTTTAGGCTGAAAGACAGGTGCTGCCTCCATGTCACCTCCAATTCCACTCCTAACACTCCACCAGTATTGCTCATGTCACAACTACCATGACCCATGTGGCTGAATCTACTGGTTAGTTCTCAGACCTCATGACCTTTCAGCATGGATCTTTAATTCTCTGCAGTCTGGCTTATCTACCCCAAACCATTGAGCATTATTCAATTGGAGGTCAGGGATTCTTTTCAGTGCTTAGCGAAAACAGCGTCCACTCCGAGAGGAAAAATGCTGTGCTCCCTGGCGCCGTGGCGTGTTCTGTTCTGTCTAAACTTGAACGCTACACCCTGCAGGCTGCTCAGCCATCCCGAAGACCTGCACACATCTTAAATGGAAATATCCTTCCTGCAGGCTGATGCTTTAAAGCCCTGGGGCTTGGAGCCAAAGGCAAAGTGATTCTGCAGAGGCGCTAGCAGCACATACACCTTCTTCCAACTTTCTCTTACTGATGTGGCTCCAGAAAGCTTTTGAATCTGTTGTACAAGTTACAATCTCTAGAACCAGCTCAGCAAGGACATTTCTTTCTCGGAATCTGCAGACTTTGTCGTTCATAGAAAGATGGTCAGTTTCCTGAGTCCCCCCACCCCCTTTATCTCCTGACCCAGAAAACTTGGCTTTTCCAAACTCGGCTTTTCCAAACTCAGTCTTTTGAAGTATGTGTTTGTTATCTCTTTGGAAATGCCAAGAACTTTCCTATTTTATGCTTTCCAATAGCCTGTTTTGGACATACCATAAATAATAAAGTATATCCATAAATAATGAAATAGTAACCTTTTCTCAAACATATTACTATGTACCAGGTCTAGTCCTAAGTGTTTCATACATTATTTTAATCAGTCCTCAAAAGAATTCTGTTAGCTAGGAATTGTTTTTTTCCCCCCTTTCTCAGTTTTTTAGGCTGGGACGTAAATGAATAGAGTAAAATGTTCTATTCAGTCATTTCCCCTAACTGGTTCAATGACCCAAAGTTTAATAAACAGAACAGAGATGCCGCCCCAAACTGAACTTGAGGCATTTGCTTTTTGAGCTCAGGATCAGAGGCTCAAAGAACTTAAATAATTTTTCTAAGGTCGCACAGCTAAATGAATGTTAAAGCTGAGATCTGAAGGGAGGGTTTTCTGACTCTGAAGTCCCTGATTTTAATTGCCAAGAAATGTGGGAAAGAGAAGAAAAAGTCCCTTGGATTGAGTAATCCTTAGCTTCTCTACTCTCTGCGCCACCAGCTCCCATAACTCACGTAGCCCTGTCAACAGTGTTCTGAAGGAGACATCTATTGTCATTGGACATTCTTCACACATTCCTACCTTGACACACCTCTGTCCTCTTTCACAGCGGTACAGTGACCTCCTGACTGTCACTCTGCTGCTCCCCCCCAAATGACCCAGCGTCACTTGTGTCCGTCTTGACCTTTGTCACAGTAGAGTCACTTGCCATTGCTTATAAAAGGGCTGGGGCCAGGCCAAGGACCACGGGTGGGTACTGGTGGTCCTACTAGATTGGAAGCACCATGAAAAAGGCAAGTGCGCATAGCCTGAGAGTTGTAGACCTGGGTTTGGGCTTCTGCTGTTCATTAACTACTTGTGTGACCAGGCAAGTCATTTAATGTTTCTGGTCCTCAGCTGCCTCATCTGTAAATGAAGCTGTTAAAAGTACTGATATGGACATGGTGCCACGTGGAAACAATAGAGTAAAGCCTAGGAAGGGCCACAAAACAGTGAGTGTCTAGGAAATAGAAGGTATTGTTGTTAATAGGAGCGTATGTTTTAGTGTGTTGATTATTTACATTTTGATAGCAATTGGACTTTTACAAAGCATTTTATGTGAGTAAACAAGCGTCTCCGGGTACCTATTGTGTAGACACTACTTTAAGTGCTTTATAATCATTTTGTATTTGCTCTTCCTCTGTTATATGGATAGATGCATACTTTCCCCTTTGCTATAGCCGAGAGATCTGTCACGCAGAGAGGCTGAGCAAGTCTGTGGTGTAGCCGACAATGAAATCCTCAGTCCCGAGACATTCGTTTGTGTCGTCCTCTGGAGGGCAGCCTTATTTCCAAGGGCCCCAGGCTCACTTCAAACATTAAAAAATAAAAAGGACAAAACTCACATTTCTGCCAGACAGATGATATCCAGGCGTCTCTAGAAGAATGGTTAGCCGTCCCGGCGTGCGGTTTTGTGTTTTAAGGTGCTTGGATACAGAAGAGGAATGTAAACTCCACAGAGCTCATTTCACATGTCAGAGTCTATTCTGGTCCTTAAAAGTGGGCCCCAGAGGCCCCAGCTGTGAGCCAGGGGCCACATTCCTGCAGAGGCATTTAGCAACCTGCAGGAATCCTGTGGGGAGCAGGGCCCACGACTTGCAAAGGAACCTGAGAGTCACAGCCAAAGGGCAGGAAGAAAAATAGTCATCAGCTCCAGAGCCAGCCCTCCAGTGTCTAGTTTTTACAGAGTCTACATTAGGATAGTATAAACCTTGTTTCCTTTTACATATTTTCTTTTTAAGGACTTTGACTAATTTTAGAGCTTCCTGTTACTTGCCAACTCTCTTTGATCTCACATGAAAAGTCCAAAAGGGGCCATTCTCTAGTTGCCACTATTCGCCCTGTTTCAGCACATCTGATGGCGCACGTGGCCTTGGGACCACGTCACTGGTGTTTTACGCACAGATCTGCACACAGCCCAGCTGTTGGCAGGGACCAGGTGGCCTTTATGGGAAGGAGATGGAGCAAGAGAATATGACTAGCATTTGATAAGGAATGAAAGAGCTTGGAAGTGAGTTGAAATCTTGTATCCAAGAAGCTAAATTATGAAATAAATCTGCCTTGGGTAGCTGGCCTCTCCAGGAAGGCGCACATTGCAGACAAGATGACATTTATCAGAAGAATCTCAAGGATGGGTAGGTCCCGATAACCACGAGGGCACACTCATCTGTCAAGCGTGGCCTCGCACAGTTTTCTTTCATTTTGGCAGGTAGCTCAAAGCATGGTTTCAACTCCTCATGATTTTCCTCCTTGTTTACTTCTTTTTTGTAACTGACCTTTCAAAGCCATTTCTCTTCCCCACTGTCCGCTACTCCTCTCTCATGTTTGAGAAATCAAAGCACCACTATATTGCGTGGGGTTGTTTGAAAAATGGGGAATTTCTACGTTATTGGCCTTTGAAAGCAGATTAGGCAACGAAAGTAAGGAGAAATGTCAGAGTGACTTCTACTCCTCGGCTGCCATGCCTTTGCCATCATTCCTCTCGGCTGTTAAAGAGCCTGCATTCCGGGGCTCCTCCTGGTGCTGTCAGGTCGGGGGCTCCTCTGGAATTTGATCAATCTCGACATTTAGATGGGCCCGGGGGCAGGGCAGGCAGAAGGCAGAACATTTCCCAGTGTTTTCATGATGATTCTTGAACCCCCGGTGGTGTAAATAGCTTTTCATATAATAAATAAATAAATAAATAAGTGTTGCTTTTCAAGATGGTCCTCCATAGGAGTTGTCAAATCTCACGTTCTGTGGGGAGTTTAATTGGTTTGATTTTCAAAAATGTTTAGCACAGCATTTTCAGAAACATGTCGCGTTTCACTGAGTCTAATTATGATGGGTGTTGGGCCCACCGTATCTAGGGCACTTCTCGTTGCTTCCCTGTCCTCTATCTCAGACCTAAATGTGTTTCTTTTTCTTTTTTTTCCCAAATGTGTTTCTTGTATAACATTTACAATAATTTATGATTTCATTTATGGGGTTTTTCTTACTTGTTACTGTCTGTCTCCAATACACCACACATACACACACACAGGTACACACACAAACACACACAAACAGATACACACAGAAACACGGATATACACACAAACACACAGATATACACACACAGACACACACATGTGCGCACACACACACACACGCACACACATAGGACTGTCAGCCTCATGAGAACCCAGATCAGGTTTATTTTGCTCACATTACATGTCACCACCTAGATCTGTGCCTGACACATAGTAATTGCTCAATAAATATTTGGGAATGAATGAATTCAAGAAGTCTTTTCTCAAAAAAGCTGTTGGGTTAAAAAAAAACCTAATTGCCCTGGCCGGTTTGGCTCAGCGGTTAGAGCGTCGGCCTGCGGTCTGGAGAGACCCGGGTTCGGTTCCCGCTAAGGGCACGTACTTCGGTTGCAGTTTGTCCCCGGCCCTGGTTGGTCGTGCGGGTGGCAGCCACTCGATGTGTCCCTTTCACGTCGATGTTTCGCTCTCTCTCCCTTCCTCTCTCTCCCTCCCTCTCTATCTGTACAAAAAATGGAAAAATATCCTCAGGTGAGGATAAAAAATAAAAAAAAAAAAACCTAATTTACCAAAAATAATCCCTATAGGAAAAGGTGATATGGAAGGTTAGTTCCCTTTTCTGCAGGTGCTTTTAAGTTTAGTGACTAGTGCTTGTCTGAGAACTGTGTTTACCAGGGAAGGGGTTCAGGATCACTGGTTATCCACATAGCGTAGAGAAGGAACAGTGTGAGACCTGCCATCTTTTCTTCTCTATTTTCCCTTCTCTTGATCCATCCTTTCTTTCTTCCTGTATCTACTAACTGCTGATCAAGAATATGCCAGGCGTAGTAAAACAGGGGCAATAGTTTACCTACTTCACAGGATTGTCATGAGGGTCAAATGAGATCATTGTATTTAACAGTTCTTGGCAAAGTACCTGACATGTTAAGAGCCTGATAAATGTTAGCCAGTAACATTATCACCAGAAATATTTATGGAGCAACTGTTATGCACCTTCTGGTTCAGAGTCTCCAGAATAAGGAGAAAAGATACCGTCTAAACCCCTGGGGGCGTGTGATGAGTTACGCCATCAGCTTTCTTTCCATAATATCTGTTTTCAGGGCTACACAGTGGCCTCTTCAATTTACAGGTGGGGAGGGTCAGCTAGCCAAGGACAAGAGTGAGGAAAGAAGCAAAATATCAGAATTTTGAATAAAGACACAATCAGTGTTATTGACTTTTCCTTTTGCCTCAGGCTCCTTATATGGCTTGGCCCAGCACTGGGACAGATCCTGTCTTTTTTTTTTTATATATATTTTATCATGGGATTTCTTTTTCATGAAAATATATATTTTTTAAAATATTGCATTGAAATTTATCTTGATTTCTGAGTAAATTTTGCACTGGAAACAAAGGTCTTTCTGTCTTACCTTAGTCCCAGCTCTTTTAACTAGTCTAAGTTTCTCTAAGCCCTCAAAATGGAGCCCTTTGACTCTAGTGGAGGGTTATCACGTTTGTGTACTTTTTATCCGCTGTCAACACCCAGGGTAGTTCCCCATCAGGTCCTGTCTTACCTTCTGAAATAGCCCCTTCGATCATTTTTATACACAGAGCCAGAGGGATTTTTTAAAATTTACGTCAGATTGGTCACTCCCCTTTTTAAAACCTTCTGTGGCTTCCCACTTCCATGAGCCCTTACCATGGCCTACAAGACTCCGTATGGTCTGGCCTTGCCTCCCGCGCACCCTCCCTTTGCCCACTGCATTCCAGACTCCTGTCTTCTCTGAATCCATGGTCCAATGGGATCCGGGCTGCCTTCATGTGAATTGTTTACTTTCCAGCAATGGCTTTCCCCAACACTTTCCACTGGTGGCTCCTTCTCCCCCTTCAGATGGTAGCTGAAGCACCAGCTTCCAGGCGTCTATCCTGACCTCCTGCTCTAAGTGCTGTCTCCCCTCTGCCTTCATTGTTCTGTTTTGTTGCCTCCTGTTCTTATCCTTCCCAACACATTCCATCATTTGCAATTAAGTAAATACCCACCTATGTGTTTACTTGTTTGATGTCTATCTTTCTCACTGGACTGTAAGGTCCTAGGAGGTCGTGTTTAGTCACCATCTTCTCCTCAGTCCCTAAGCAATGCCTAGCACAGAAGAGTTGCTCAAATATCTGCTGAATGAATGAGGGAGGGAAGGGAATGAATGAATACATCAATCTTAAGCTTATAAAATCATGACCTAATGATGCTGCCACACACTAAAGAGACTTACTTTCA